TTTTTTTTTTTTTTTTTTTTTTTTTTTTTTTTTTTTTTTTTTTTTCTTTTTTTTTAATTATATTTGTGTTCAGTTTGTTGTTTTTATATTCTCTCTTTTTTTTCTCTCCTGTTTTGTTTCGTTTTACTTGGGTTTTGTTTATCGTTTGTTTTCTCTTCTTTCTCTTTGTCTGTATTATTAATTTTTAATTTTATTTTGTTTTTTCTGCTGGTGCTGTTGGGGTGTGCTGTTGCAGCTGCAGCTGAGGTGTACATACACCTCATATTTTGCATCGTTTTCTCCCGTTTTTTTTATTTAATTTAATTTAATTTTATTTTATTTTTATTTTGTTATATAGGCCGAGAAGCAACAGCTCTTATCTCTTCTATGGAGGATCTGTTGGGGGATAGCAACGAAGGAGTCGATAGAAATTCAAAAATGATGTACATTGGCAGCTCGCGGACCTCGTACGCTGCAGCACGCATACAGTCTGGGGTGTATAGACAGCTCAGCTGAAACACCATCAACCACCAGCAGCAGCACCTGCTGCTGCTGTTGCTGCTGCTGCTGCTGATGCTGCTGTCGTGTTGTTTGTTTGTTTCTCTCCTCATTTGTTTTTATGTTGTTTACCTTTGTTTGCTTTCTGTTGTATTTCTTTGTTTATTCCCTGTACTACTGTTTTTACTATTAATTAATTAATTTATTTATTTATTAATTTATTAATTAATCTATTTATCAATATATTAATTAATTAATTTATTATTTTTATTTATTTTTTTGTTTGTCTCCTGCAGAGAGTACGCTGCTGTTGCTTCTATCGTTGCTTCTGAGCCGGGGCGGCTGCTGGGGGCATACATGTCGATAGCAGCAGAGGTAAACAGCAGCAGCAGAAAGAAGAGAACCCTCAACAAAACAAATGCAAGAGACAAAGTACGCGAGTTCACATTCAAGTAAGTTAAAAAAAAACAAAAAAAAACAAAAAAAAAACAAAAAAAAACAAGAAAAAAAAAAGAATGATACAGGAAACACTAACACATTCGTACAGTTGGCACTGCGGAATTGAGGGTTTAGGGTTTTGGGTTTAGGGTTTAGGGTTTTGTGGTGGTGAGGGTTTTGTTTGGGGCGGCAGCAGTTCGCTGTGCACGACAAGGATCTAGTTAGCTCGAGATGAATACATCTCTTGCTGCTGCTGCTCCTGCTGCTGCTGCTGCTGCTGCTGCTGTTGCTGCTGCTGGTGCTGCTGGTATTTCTGCTGCTGCTGCTGCTGGTGCTGCAACTGTTGCTGTTGTGTTTGTTGTGTGGTGTGTGTGTATAGGCGAGGCATCCGTTCTATGTCTGCTGTGCGTCTGGACTTTGTGGTGACTTTGTCTTGTCCTCAAATGTATGAAATTTCTTCTTTTATAGTTCCCGCAGAAATAAAAAATATAGTTGGAGTTGAAATAGCAAAAATAATAAGAGAGGTGATAGATGTTTACTTGTTCGATGCATATGAAGATATATACACAACAAAAACAAAACAAAAAAAAGAAAAAAAACTAACTGCTGATCTACCTATTTTATTTATTAAATTATTTAAAATAAAAATTATCAGAGATAATACAAAAAAAAATATACAAATTCATAAAGTTGAGCTCAACAGACACCACGGTGACCCCATGA